GAGGACGAGGAGGAGGAGGCCGATGAGGAGGGGGAGCGATGCGAGATGGATGAGGAGGGGATGACAGGAGGAGTGACACCTCAACCTCATCCTTCTCGTCCTATAGAGGCTGGGGGGCGGGCGACGCGGCGAGGGAGCAAGGAGGGCGAGGTGGTGGGGGAACGGATTTGGGCGGGGGCGCGGAGGATGAGGGGGGGGGGATGTGGAGGCCGAGTAGTATGATGATGATTGGTGTCAGGGAGAGACGTGCCCTTCTCCGCCACCCAAAATTCAGCCCGCCACCCCCCCTCACGCCTGGCTCCGTTGTCCCCGCGCCGCCCAGGAGCTGGCAAAGTGGATGAAGGGCGCCGACGTCCACGACGTGTCGGAGGACGAAGCCGACCTGCTGACAAAGGCCATGCACTCGGTGCCCGTCGATCCCAAGAAGCGGGAGCTGAAGGCGGAGCGGGGGGGTCGCGATCGTTGCCAGAGAGGATTGGTTGTCTGGGGGGATATGGAGGGAGTATGACAGCGTCGACTCACGTGGAGGACAAGGTTGGAGTGGCATAGGTGGAGGTGGATGATGATGATGATGAGGATTATGAGGGTGAGGGTGATGATGATGATGAGGGTCACGATGGTGATGAGGATGAAGATGATGAGTGCGGCGCCGATGGTGAGGAGAAGGATGGGGGCGGCAACGGCACAAAACGAATTGCTCTCCGCAGGCGGAGGTCAAGGAGCGGAAGAAGGGCAAGGCCGTCGCGACCCCGAAGGCCAAGGCCAATGACGTGATGACCGCGTCGGGCGAGAAGGGCAAGAGGCCGTCGCTGGGCGACGGGCGTCGCTGGGCGTCGGCCGCCCTCGGGGAGCTCAAGGTGACGTACGCCACGAAGAAGAGCTACATGTGCTCTCGCGATTCCGAGGGGAAGCCCCGTCTTTTCGTGGAGGTCACCGATAGTCAGTTCGGCGACCGCCACGCTGCGATTTGCGAGGAGATTTTAGTGGCGAGCTGCAGGAAGGGACTCAGTAAAGCTGATGCACTGAGTCTTCGCAAGAAGCTCTGCCAGAGTTAAGCGCGGTTTTCCGCGCGACCAGCGACCTGGGAGGATCTGGAGTCAGTTGATGCTTGGTCAGGGATGATTCGGATAGTGGCGAAGAAGGGACGGTAGGGGGATGATGATTGGAGGAGCAGGGGAGGAGGGGGGGGGTCGCTTCTGCTCAGAGCTGAGAGACGCGCTGCAGGGGCACGTTGTGGCCACGCCTCTGCCACCGCACGCACCGCGCCGCCGGGAGACGCGCTGCAGGGGCACGTTGTTGTCACGCCTCTGCCAGCGCACGCACCGCGCCGCCCATGGGGTTTTGGGCGTCATTCGCACGGGCCGCAGTTGAAAGAGTCGGTGTCTCGCAGTGGCGGTGCGCCAGGTCCCCCGAATCGAGCCTCCGTCCATCCAGCCATCCCGTCCCAACTCACCCTGCTCGCCATCCCTCCTCCGATGCGGTGGCGGGCGCTTGGAGTTTGGGCCCGTGCATTCCTGGTTCACAGCGTGCCACCATGGAGGTCGAATTTCAGGGCTCGTAGGTCGGTCGTTCAGGTTGCTGGCGCTCAGGTTGATGGCGCAGTGCCGTGCCCCCCCCCCACCTTACCCTGTCCTCCTAAATGAGATATCGACCTGTCTATCTGCTCTGAACACCTCTCCCAACCTACGTCCCAATACTAGGAGCACGCTCCTCCTCGTATTCCTCCTCATCCTCATAGTCCGCATCGGCCGTATCCCCCCCTCATCATCAACGCCAATCCCCTCCATCATCATCCGTGTCACAGAATCATCCATTCCACTGCTCATAGGTCAATGTCGTAATCATCGTCTCGTGTGACGATCGGCGTCACCGTCGTGGCGACACGTGGCCCGTGATGGTCACATCGATTCAGTATTGTAGTGCACACCATGATGGTAAACTGTAAATACAGTTATGTCGATATGATGTATTCGCATCGTTAGATGGCGTGGCCAATTTGGAACACGTGATACTATGAGTCACTACCCACGAATAAATAAATTATAAACACGTATATATTATAATTCGTACATAACCATTATACAAGTATTGTTGACATGTGCACGCATGTTTCAGTTTTTAATTATCATACATATATATATGAATACATAATATTGACCTGACAACGACATGGTATCATATACAATGTTGTATCATGTGATCTCACAATGATCTGACGTCAGACTATTGTCAGACCGACGTGTCTGACGTCAGAATTGTCAGATCTGACAATTCTGACGTCATACCACTCGATCTGACAATGATCTGACGTCAGATCATTGTCAGATCACTCGATCTGACAATGCTATGACGTCAGGCCGTTGTCAGATGGCATTAAGTTTACACAGGAGTATACATATTTTTTATATATGACTATTATGCGATTGATGCCATGACTTCACACAATCAGATTTGACATATTGTATGTACATGCACACCCGTTTATATAATTACTGACCATCTCAATCACATCCACTCATCTGGTATTGCTAAACTCCTAAACTGATATATACAATTTGCCACATCCATGCATTCAGACATGCACTGTGTCACTGAACTGGATACGTTAATCACTGGTACGAATACAGTTCATGCACACACGCACGTGTATCCGTCTGACCACACGGTATCCAATTATGTTCACGTGATTGATGTGATCGTTGCATCGCGCTTGCGATACCGGCTCGGTTTAGTTGGGTGCGCGCGAAGCGCCGCGAGCCTGGGCTGTGTTCTTACCAGGGCTCTGTCCGACCCAAGGGCCTAGGGGTGCAATGGCGCCGAAGGGGAAGGCTCCAGCGCGCGGCAAGCCTGCAGTGCAAGTGATCAAGAATGACCCCGATATAATCAACATGATTATGTCGCCCCCCCCCCCCCCCATTACCACGCATGTGGTACTGCCGCCCCCTTTAGAGATGATGTGGACAATGTACAATGGGGGGGGCGATGGCCGATCGAGTTGGGTCGATCGAGTTCTGAGGACAAGCTGAAGGCCGACACCTCTGCCAATACAGCGCTTGGCTATCCAGTGTGGCTGGGGCAATCGATATACCCGATTCATGCCCCCAGGTCCGACCAGAGTGTGCACTCGGAATTAGTCGTCGTATTTGGTTTTGTCACAGGCGCTATAGCGCCGCACGTGGTCGCCTACCCCCGTGCCCCGCTTGCCCCCACGGTGGTCCGACGAGAAGATATTGCACGAGGCGAAAGGCAAGACCACCGAAGAGAAGAATCCGCTCTTTCGGACGCACTTTTTTGCCATGTTGCAGGTAGCTCGCGCGCGCGCACGCGCGTACGTGGGCGCTCAGACGGGGGCCACGGCGCGGGGCTGATATTGGGATGGGCGCGGCGGCACGGAGCGGCACGGCACGGTGCTAGGTTGTCGCGGGTGCGGTTGATCATGACGTCATGGGGATCGTGTTGCGTTCGCGCTGTTGGGTGCGTTGTCAGCGCCCTCTTTGCGCCTAGTTGCGTGCGTGAGCCTTCGGTGGTGTTGTCAGGCGTGGACGGGCGGTGCTGCTGTTTGCAAGTGCCTGCAGGTTTGCAGCGCGCGCTGCAAATGATTGCCGCCGCTAGCTTGCACTCCAAGGCGGACAACGTCGGCTTGCTGAAGCAGTTGTTCACCCCCGCTGAAGTGAGGGCGATTTTTTTATTTCATGCGGTGATCAGAGCACGGCTGGTGTCCACGTATTGTTTCGGAGCACGCGTTGGTCCAGGATATGCATGACTCACGAGGACATGATGGAGGGTGGCGGGCGGTTGTGAGAGAGCGGTGATGGGGAATATTGGGGGAGGGAGGGAGGAGGGGCGCGGTTGAGGAGGGCAGAGCAGATTGGGGGATCGGGGGAGCAAGGATGATGTCCTCCACCTTCCGTTCTTTTCCATCCACCTCCTCCCACCTCCATCGTTCATCCCCATCCGTTGTCGGGCAGACCTGGCTGTGTGCATCGTTGCCGCGCGCCCCCTTCCCCTCCGCTGCGCGCGCAAAACCATCGTCCAGGACGCTCTACGGCAGGTTCGCCACCGCGCGCAGCCACGGCGAGGAGGCCACCAAGCAGTGGGACCAGGTCGCCCATTTGATGTTTGTTGTTGGTATGTATTGTGGGTGCATGTGCATGCGTGTACGTGTGCGTGCGCGTGCGCATTAGTGCTCGGATGCGTCGTGTGCGCGCGGGCGCGCGCGGGCGTGCGCATGTGGCTTTGGGCGATGTTTGTATAGACTGTTGGGTTCTGTGAGTCGCATGCGATCGAGCTTTTTCGTTGGGCGCAGCTGACGCATCGCTGGGTGTTCGATCGTGACATGGGGAAGCTGGCCAGCCCCCATCGCCCCATCCCTTCTCGGGGCGACGCCGCCAGGTCGAGTCGGGCGGTGCCAAGGACACGAAGTACAACACGAAGGCGAAGATGCTGGCCGCCTACATCGTGGACCCGACGCTGAACGACTTGTACCAGCAGGTGACGACGAGCATCCGGTGGAGCGAGACCATGACTCGCGAGTCGGAGTGGATGAGCAAGAAGCAGCTCTACGACACGTACGGGGAGTCCGAGGCGGAGGAGATGATCTCGGAGAACTTGGTGACGGATCGTTTTTTTTTCGTCGCGGGTGGGAGGCGCAGGGCGTGCTAGACAGATGGTGGGCGAGGCCGGATTAGGTGTGATGAGGAGGCCAGTTGATGTAGGATGGTGATGGGGCGATAGGATGAGGTTCGGATGAGGTAGGATCACGTGCCATGACACGACCGTTGTTCTCCATAGTTTGCTCGATGTGCTGATGTGCGCGTCGGCATCGATGTAGTGTTGGTCGGTGTCAGTGCGCTCGGTGTGCTGCGCAGTGACGTGCGTGTCGGGATCACTCGGCGCGCGTTTGCGTGGGCGTTTGCCATATCATCGTGCCATGCCGTATTCAACAATTTCTCCAGACTCGCAAGAACCCGCAGAATCCGCGCAGGAAGCAGTACATGAAGGTGACGGACAAGCACAGCAAGTCGTTCGGCCGTGGCAAGCAGCAGATGACAACGGGCGGGAGGAAGATGTCCCGCGACGAATACGACGAGCTGTCTGGCGCCATGGACCGCATGCAGATGGTGCATTCCAGTGCTGCGTACGGTGGCGCGGGTCCAATGTGTTCGGCCGTGGCTCTTATCTTTTGCATTGCGCAGTTTGTCGTCGTCGCGCATTCTGCAATTCTTGACGCTTCGCGCATCCCCACCAGCTCATCCAGACTTGATTGGAAGTTGTCTTGGGGCCTCTTTGGGGGCTATCTTGAACCATGCTCGGCTATTGGCTGTCGGAGGTTATCGTGAGCCATTCTCGGCTATCTTAGGTCATCGTGATGTTGTCGCGAGGTTTCTTGGAGGTCTGCCCGAGGCTGTCTTGAGCGATACTTGGCTATCTTAAGCCAGATTGAAGACCATATTTGCCTGTCTAGGGCTCTCTTGGGGCCATATTGGGCACACCAGGGCGGGGTGGGGGGTCTTTGGGAAGAGGCTGGGATGCCTCTTAGGGTCATCTTGAGCCCCATTGATCAACACGAAGAGGTCCCTCAATTCGCACCACCCCCTCGGAGGCTCTCAAACGGCATCTTGGGGCCCTCTTGGGGCGCTCCTGGGCGCCCCTTGGGCGATCTTGCAGCCGTCGTCGGCCGTCTTGCGCCCCTCGTGGGCCTCTTTTGGGTCATCTTGGGGCCATCTTGAGGCTTGCAATGCCCATCGGAAGCGAAAGGGCGATAATGCCAAATTCCGTGATGGTCTCTATGATTTTGAATGGTGTTTGGCATCTTGGAGGGCGCCGTGGAAGGCTCGGGGCGCACTTGGATCCGTCTTGGGGTTGCCTCGGGGCATCCTGGGGGCAGGTCGGAGGCTGTGCTGGCGCATCTTGAGGTGGCATGGGCCATCTTGGAGGCCATCTTGCCACTTTGAAGCCCTCTTGGAGCTGTCGTGGGCCATCTTGGACGCCGCGGTGCCTCCGCCCCTCCCTTCCCCCAGGCCCAGGGGAGGGGGTATGGGGAGGGGTAAAGAGAGAAGAACAACACGCGTTATACCACCTAGGCCCAAAGGGCTGGTGGGGTCAGGGTGTTGGCGCATCGAAGGGCGTGCTTGGTCATGTCTGATCATGGGGTAGATAGCTCCATGACGAGTGATGGGGTTTTTGCAGGAGTGATGATGGCGAAGGGGGCGGACGGGATGAGTACGGATTGGGGAGCGGACTGATGCGGTTGAGGAGGGGATTGTTACGAGATGTTGAGCAGGTTGATGACGGGGAGAGGGGTGGCGCGGGGGTGGGCGTGCGTTGCCACTCGCGCCCCGCAGGCGGGATGCACGACATGGGCTTGGCGCTGTGCGACGACGACGACGGTCATGGCCCGGGCCATGGCGCTGCCGGTCGCGGCGACGGAGCAGGGCGGGGCCGCTGCGCTGGTCGCGGCCGCGGTCGCGGCGCCAAAGCTGCCAAGACGGCGGGGGGGGCGGGGCGGCTGCGCATTCGCCGAAGAGAGGGGTTGGAGAGGATTGGTGCGAGTGGTGGCATGGAAAGGGGGGGGGGAGGATGGGGAGGGGAACTGCAAGTGGGCAGGGATTATCACCTCTCGCTTCTCTCCACGCCCCTCCCGCCCATGAGCGGAGCCTCGGTGTCGTCCTATGCGCCCCCCCCCCCCCCCTCGACGCGTCCGATATCGTCGGTGCCCATATTGAACTGCAGTCTTGCGTGAGATGGCTGCGACGACGGAGGCGACGGGCCCCCCCCCCCCCAGATGCCCGATCCCCCAAGGGCCCGATCGAGAAGCTCAAGCGCAAGAACGCTGAGATCCAGATCATCGGCGCGAAGAAACTGGGGGCCGATGACGAGATCGGCGATGCCGTGCGCTGCGTGGGCGAGGGGCTCGCGGACAGCGTTTTTTATGTTTTGCATTGCAGAGGCAGGAAATGATGAGGACCAGGGCGTGGATGATGAGGGGGCAATGAAGATGAGGCGGGGGATGAGGATGAGGAGGAATGCGAAACGCTGGAGGGTAGGCATAGCGGGGGAACGCTGTTATGCAAGAAGGGTGATGACGATAGTGAGGAGGGGGGGGGCGGAGGAGAATGAGGAGGGTGGGGCGGATGAGAATGATGAGGCGGATCAGGAAATGAACGGGCGGCTTGACATCGAGATGGCGAGGTCGAGGATCGTAGCGTAGACATGCGTGCTGGTCTGGCGACGCAGACATATCGCAATTCCGAAGCGCCTGCTATGAGGTGTTGTTTGAGGCGAAGTGCCGATATGCTTCATGAGAGTTTGACCCATTCACCCAAGTCAGGGCGGGCGTAGACTCATATAACAGCATGCAATTCCCAGCTGGCCAACGACGTCCTGCAGAGCTTCCCGACGAAGAAGGAGTGGTGCAACAAGCACCCCGCGTCGTCCAACAAGGCCAAGAAGGCGACGCGCTTCCTACGGGCAATCAGTTGGGGGTTCCCAGGTAACTTGAGGCTTCCAGGAGACTTGGGGTTGTCAGGAGACCTGAGAGAATATGTTTGGGGTTTCGATGTTCGCGAGACGTGAGGTTTCTATGATACTTGAGAGAGATGGTGCGTGATGGTTCCAGGCGCTTCGGTGAGGCTTGAGACGAGCTGTGTTCCATGCACATTGGCCTTCCCCGTCCCTCCTTTGTCCCGCCTCGTGGTATCTCCCATGGCGTTCACCTCTTCGCGCTCATTTACCCACGCCCACCCTTCCCGATGTGAGCCGCAGCCCCGTCGCCATTGACCCCCTTGCCATGTTGCCCAGAGCCCCCCCCCATCGCCGCCCAGGTGATCGGCACCCTCCGCAAGCTCGGCGACATCATCGCGTCCTGGCAGACGGACCGGAAGCCGAACGCCGCGAAGGTGAAGAAGCACATCCCCCTCTTCCAGGTTGCCATGGTCGAGCTGCTGGGCATCGACAAGATTTCGGAGCAGGGGGGGGATTAGAGTTGTAGCGCGCATCGGCGACCCTCTCCCCAGCAGCGAGGGCAGCAGCGACGTGCAGCACGGTGAATCGACAGACAGTAGCAGCAGCGACGTGCACTAGCGATGATCACTAGCAAGGAGCACTGGCGAGGCGCACTAGCGAGGCGCACTAGCGGGGATGACTGGCGATGAGCGCTAGCGAGGAGCACCAGCGAGGATCACCAGCGATGATCAGCGACGGCGATCACTAGTGAGGAGCAGCAGCGACAAGCAACGATCGCCAGACCGATTTACTCGTCAGTGATCGTGTGTGTGTGTGTGTGTGTTCACATGTGTCGTCGTCTATGTCGTGTGTGTCGCCGTCTAGAGGCGCGTGGAGTGGTCGATATGGCAACGACGCGGAACCAGACCATTGTCGGATCTGACAACGATGTGACGTCATATCATTGGCATATAGGACATGTCTGATGTTACACGATTGTCAGATCTGGCAATGGTCATGTGACGCGTCGTTGTCAGGTCGGCGGCAATCCAACAGCGATGGCGACGCGACTGTAGCTCGAGGGTGGTGTTTGCATGAAGCAGGCGGTTGGGGAATCGGATAACAGGTTTTGCAGCTGGATGGGTCGCAGGGCTCGCAGAGAGGAGGCCTCGCTCCTGCGCAGTAGCCCGCGCGCGGCAGGCACGTTTTTACTGCGCGCGCGATCGGTGCTCGATCGTGGCACGTATGCGCTCTACCTCGGGCGCACGCTGCGCCTGCGTCCGATTGCCAGGGGGAACGCCGCGGACAGGGAGCGGCTTGGTTCACGTTCTTTGTTCGGTTGCCCCCCCCCCCGTCGTCCTCCTACTCGTCGCACTCATCGCATCGCATGCGCCGTTTCCGCGTCGCCCTTCCCCCCTCGCTTTCGCGATTCCCGCCCGAACTGGTTCTGGGGGCGCCCCCCCCCCCCCCCGCCCCCGCCTCAACAATTTAAGGGCCCCCCCCACCCACCCACCCACCCCGCCCCGCCACCTACCCACCCCACCCACCCCGCAATTGCCGCAATCCCGGTTGGCGTTGTTGCCCCACAGCTAGCGCTGTTCGCGAGGCCTGCGACTGGGCATTTGGGCTCGAGGGCCCACCAGGTTTCTGGAAACATGCCGCCAACACAACAACACCGTCGACGCCTCAACACTGTGAGCACCGATGGCGATGCCGAGGCGCCGCCCCCACTGAACCCGCCAGTACACAAGTATTCACAGTTGGGCACAAAGTTGCTGAGCTCATGGGCATGGGGGTGCATGCCAGCAACCGAGGTGCAGCGCACGGCCCATGCTGCGCACCTCGATGGTTTAACGCACCCCAAGATCACGACGCTGGCGAGCCTGGGGACTTTCGGGACGCACCCTGGTAATGCACACGCAGAGCTCATGAGGAAACACGGCGATACCCCATTGCCGACACCGTACACCTTCAGCACCCCTGCCTGGGACAACAAGGCGGCTGCCGTTTCAAGATCGACTTGCATTGTATTACTGCCTCATGAATGGTTCGCTTCCCTCTACCACAACTTTCGGGACGATTTCGAGGAGCTCTTCGGAGCCGACAAAATCCCCTACTACTGGGCCAACGCGCGCAGGTGAGCGCTTTCAACTGTTTCACGCGCAGTCGAAACATTCGAAGCAATGGGGGAACAACCAGCCCCCCCCCCCCACACACACACACACACACACACACACACACACACACACACACACACACACACACACACACACACACACACACAACCGACTACGTCGCGTGTACCCCCCCCCCCCCCCCCCCCCCGCAGCCCAGCACCAGACATCCCCGTCGCCCCCCCCCCCCCCTCCCCCCCCCCGCGCATCACCCCAAACACATTGTCGCCAGCACTGTAGGTGTATAAACATATCTCAGGGACGAACGACGTTTACGTCGACATCCTGTATGGGGAATTTCACGTGCCGCCAGGGAAGAATACACTGTTCCACTTCGCGTGCGCGGGGACGGTGCAGAATTCCTGCGCCGTGATTCCTTGAAGTCGATATCAATGGCTGGATTGCTAGCCGTAGGTAAGACTAACCAGTTGACGTTGCATTTAGCGTCGTTCCCGTTAAGCATTTCGGCGAAACAAACACAACATGGGGAAGACACTTGGGCAGAGATATGGAAAATCCTTCGGTGGTCCTTCGATGCCCTGGCAGCGGGCAAGCATCCTAGGCGCGATTAAGAGGCTACGCCATGTTCCCAAACATACACCACCCCCGACTGCTGCGTGTTCCCTTTTTTTTTCTCCTGCTCCATCCATCCCCTCTCCCGTCCGCGCCCTTCCGCCCCCCTCCCACCGACCCCGCCCCTCTGACCGACCCACCCGATCCCTCCCTCCGCCCCCCTCCCACCGATCCCCCTGAGGGCCCTAAGACATGGCCCAAGTTGGCCTCAAGACGGCTCCCAGATGCCCCCAGGAGGAGTGCGCCAAAGGTGCCCCCAAGGGCCAATCGACCACCCACCCTTGTTGTTGGGCCACATTGGTGGCCTCCTGGAGCCGTATTGTGGCCCTCTTGGGTTTCCGTTTGCGCCCCCGTTCCATCCTCCCACTCCTGGTCCATATCCCAACTTGCTCGCGCCCACGCTCACGGTCGCCGCCCCCGTGCCCGTCGGTTGTCGGCGCGGAAAAAGGAATCGGGGAGCTGCGTGCGATGCGACGGAGGCATGAGAGGTGCAGCGCGTGGGGCGAGGCAGGGAGATATGAGAGGTCGGCGTGGCTTGATGGATTGATGTGGCGGGTTGGAGGCAGGCGTGTGTTGGGGAACGTCGGTGCGGTCGGCGGCCACGGGCTCACGGCTTGGGCTGCCCCCAACGGAGGGGGTTCTCTTCGCGGGAAGAGTGGTGGACTTGCATCTCTTCGCATGAGGGGAAGCGGATTGGAATGACAATGCTTTGGACCCAGACCGCGCTGCTCTCGCAGGCACTTACCTTTGCGAGCCGTCCCGCCCCTTTCGCGCGTTCATTCATTCAGTTTTGGGTGATCTCGAATTCTTTTCGCCATTGGGAATGCCAGCCCCTGGGTCCGACGAGTTTTGCTGGATCTGCACCGCCAACAAGACTACGAATCCGTGGAATGACTTTTCGAATGCAGCCGCGGACCCCAACCATTGGAGCAGACATGATAAGGTCTACGCGTGCGACCACCCCTTGTTTAAAACATGGGGCGTTACGACTGACACGTTGGCGATCGACGCCATGCAGACGGTCGATCTGGGAGTTTGTGGGTATGCGGTTGCCAGTTTGTTCTATGAAACTATTTATGAACACATGCATGGTCGCATCGCCGACAGGGCATCCAGACTGCGGGCCCGCATGCAAGAAATATACGACGAGCAGAACTTACCACATAGAGCATCAAACTTTAAGTTATCCATGTTCCTTGAGGACAAGGACTCTCCCCGCGGGGAGTACCCAGTGTTGGCCCACAGTATCAAGGCCGCGGAGGCCAGAACCTTAA